TCCAGGGTGTAAAAGTCCCCCAAGGGAGCCATCTGTTTGCTGTGGGTAGTGAGCCATGTTGTGTGAGGACAGGATCTTGGTGACTGAGCAGTTGGTGACCCTGTAGTTTAAGAGGCCATTATCTGCAAAACTCCACTTTGGCCCTTACTTGGACTAGACAGGTGGTCGAAGTGGCCGATTAATCAGCTGGTCATGTCAAATCCTACCATATATAACCCACATCACTTACAGCTAAAATCACACATGTTCCCCAATCCACCCCTAATACTTGACTAATTTATTCTCAAATATACGATAGAAAGTAGTGGCTAAGGATCAATTGGCTTGAAAGAAAAATAATTCAACATGTCTAATTTATCCCTGATATTCTGACTAAATTAAGGAAATTCATGAATTAGGAGCTTGAAGTTCCTCTCAAGGTGAATATACCATCTATGTACCCCTCCCATGGAAAGGCAAATGTGTTTTCTCCTTGCTATGTCCCAATTTTGAACTCCAAGTTAGGTGATGATGATGAAGGTAAAAATTTTCTCATGTAAAACAAAAATCTAAAAAGTGATATCTATCACTATCACTCCCACCCCAAATGTAAAGAAATTAAAAATGGGACTCTATTGGTGGAGGTAGGAAATAAAAAGTATACAGGCACCTTACTAAAAATGATGAAATTTTACAAAACTATTATAAAAAGTTACTTACATAAAACTTTGAACACCTTCAAGGGAGTGGTAAGAAGTGGGGAGTTGTCTCTATACACCTTGGAAGAGATAAAAAAAATAAACTAAAGAACCAGGGTGACACAGATGTCAGAAGAGTGTCTATAAAAAGGGATGGACAGATGATCCCCACAAAGCACTTACATAATAACACTTAATATTCCTCAAAAACAAAGTGGAACAGTTTATTCCAAACCCTGTCTAATGTTATAAATAAAGTTCAGACATCACAAAGATGTGTGCAAGAGAGAGTACATTTGCAAAAGATGTGAGAAATCTTGCGACTACAACCAAAATGAATGCATCAAAAATCCTAAATGTGCAATTATTCTACAGAATGCCCAATATGGCAAAAAGGAAAAAAAAAAACACAGTGAAGTTGAAACACACACAGGATCTCTCGTTTGCAGAGGCCGGGAAAATCATAAAGGCACAATCTCAAAAAAGAGTTAGGTTCATATGACTAGATGGAAAATAATACTAATAAATAAAAATAAGTTAGATGACCTCCAAAATCTAGTCACAAGATTACTTCAACTAGGACCAAATGACTAACAAACATTCATAAATGAACTGAGACTTAGTCTCATTATGAAGACCCCTACCTATAAATGAATCATACCAAAAAGATAAACCAACATTCCAAATTCTACAAGAAAATGAAAAATCAAAAGGAAAACCAACCCAAAAATTAATGACACCTGGACGAGGCAAAAATAGGAGGAAATTAATATCAATGAGGTCACAACTTCTTCTTCAAAATTGATTGGATGTACTGGGAGCTGAAAAAACAAAAAAAAAGAAACTATCAAAAATGAACAAGAATATCATAAAAGAAAAACAGAGAGTGTGACTTAAAACCAAAGTTCTCTAGTAAAGATTCTCAAAAGGACAAATCCAGAGAGAAGAAAAAAAGATTAGGAAAAAAGGCAGAATGCCATATTTATAGAAAGTTGCTTGAAAGAGAGAAACTTCTGAGTCAGATGAACACTCCTAGACTGAAAATGGATACTACAAGACAGCATAATGTTGGTTACTTTGTATAGTATTAAAATTAATAATATTGTAAAAAAACATAAACTCTGGAATAGATTGCTCATTATATGTAGATAACCTTCTCGTCTGCTATCATTCAAAATATATCAACACAATAGAAATACAGTTACAATTATGCTTGAATAAAATTAACAAATGGTCCATGAAAATGGATTCAAATTCTTGAAAATGAAAACTAAATGTTCTGTCAACACTATAAAGTCCACAATGAGCCTGTACTCAAGTTAGAAAACATTTAAATAACTACTACCATGAAACAACACAAATTCCTAGGTATTTGATAGCAAACTGTCATTCCTACCTGACATTCTAAACCTGAGAACCAAATGCAACAAAGCCCTATAACTGATTATATTCCTATTTCACACTGACTGGGGATCAGATCAGAAGACCTTACTAAAATTATACAGAACACCAATAAGAACCTAGCTGGACTATGGCTGTTTTATATATGGAGAATCATATCTGAAGGAAATAAATCCCATCATTAAGGATTCAGACAAGCCCTCAGAAGCATATAATGCCTCACCTGTAGAAAGCATATATGCCAAAGCAAATGAACCTTCTCTAAAATTGGGATGTAAAAAAACTTGCTTTACAATACTACATAAAACTGTCATGTCCACTAAACCCAACCTCCAATAAAACTTTTTATCCAAAATACACTGTAATTTTCATGAAAAAAAAGGTAAAAGCTATCAAACCATTAAGTTTACAAATGAAAGAACCCATCTTAAAATACCAGGTCCACAAATCCACCATATTAGAAACTCCTCCGTTGACGATCAAAACACCCAATATAATATTAGATCTCACAAGACATCGCAAAACCAACCCAGTTATCTATCATTCTGAAATACTCAACATAAAAATGAATCCTCCAGATCATCTATTCATCTATACAGATGGATCAAAAGTGTGAGGTTGGTTGTGCTGCCATTCTTGGTAAAAGCTAGTAGGCATAGCTTCAGTATACAGTGCTGAAATAACAGCTATCAATTTAGCACTTGGTATTGTAAGAACAAACAAACATGACAAATTCTTAATTTTCACAGACTCTCTATCCATACTTACAGCACTAAAAGCAAAAAACTTTCAATCCTCTAATCACTCAAGTATTTGACAGAATCCAACATATCTCCAAACAGAAAAATATAACTCTATGCTGAATACCAAGTTACATTGGTAGACCTGGTGATAACAAAGCAGACTCTGAAGCAAGAAAAGCAAGTAAAGAGCAACCATCAACCTGAAAAATACCATATACTGACTATAGAACTACTATCAAGGAACTGATTACAAACAAATTACAGAATGTTAAAACTACCATTGGAGAATGGCAGACTGAAAACATCAAAAGCAAAAGACAACAAGCAGTGCTTACCCAGCCCCACATAGGCCACACCCAAATCACTCACAAATATGTACTGGAGGGTGAAGAACCCCCAGTATGTATAGTATATCAACGGAGATTATCAGTAAAACACATATTACTGGATTGTCAGGATTTTTACCAAATTGGCAAAAGATATTACCAAGTAAACAATTTGAAAGAACTCTTCAACTAAATCCTCTCTTCCGAAATAATAAACTTTCTAAAAGAAATATGACTTTACTCAAAAATATGAACATAATAAATATATATATATATATAATCCCTCCACTCAAAAAAGGCAAGCCTTTTAAGCTAAATATTATTTTCAGTCACAGTTTCACAATCAAATGACCTAAATAGGGTTGACTTGTCATAAAACAAACCAAACTAAATCTTCCTACTTGTAAATGACAAAATGGAAAGCACAAAGAAAGTACTAACTATTAACCTGGAAGATGGAATGCATTGTTGTCAACAAATCAATGTGAATGAATGGGTTCCTGTCAATAGATGTAAAAGCTATTTACCCTTGTATAGCTGGTATGATAGTTATGGAACAGTCTAAACATTCATTTACTCTTTTAACATCATGGTAGGCTAATAATTTTTCTAAACTAATTATGGAAAAACATATCTGCCGGCATTATTCGCACTCCTGTATGACTTATGAGGTTGTTTTATGAATGTAAGAGCAGGTACTTCTTTCTTACCAATGGCGTGCAAAGGAAATAAGGATGATTCAAACCTGTGTACATGCCATGGTGGCTTTGAGCTTTAAATGTCTGAAATGGTAGAACTTGTATGTTGGAACAATTTCTATGGAAATAGTGATAGTTGTGAGAGACTTATGTTGTGTCTGTGGGAAAGCGGTTGAAGACAATTCATCACCCACAAGGTCATGTTTCTTACCTTTTATTATCACTTCTTTGGAAAGTAAAGTGGTTTTCTAGTTGGCTTAGCCATTGCTTGAAATTCATAGTTTTTCATATGTCTGTATTTCTGAGATGAGGTATTGTAACTATTTACATCACCTGGACTGTTGCCCTCGTCTTTATTGCCATATTCATGATGTTTCAGCCGTTGCATGCTCCAGCCTTCTTCAGGTTATATATGCTGGAATTTTGAACCAAACCCTGTCAATAGTTTTTCCTTTTCTTAGACTGGTAGCCATCCAATGCTAGATAGATTAGTTTACCCTATTATTTAACCTACATATGGTAGAGAATAATAGGTTTATATCTTTCCAAAAGGTCACTTGTGTAGAAGTGAGCACAACAGGTTAGGCCAGAATTTGAACTTGGCTTGCTGATTCCACTTCCCATGCCAATAAAAGTTAGACTTTTCACAGACAGGACCTATATAATAGCACTATTCTGCTGGTAATTACTGCAAGTCTGCAGAAATTAAAGGGTCTTTTAAAGGGTCAGTTTTTTAAAATTATTTTAGCAATGGGTAAAACAAATGACTCATTATTTTCCAGTTGTTTCCAATTTGGTGGCATAGTAATTGTGAGTTCGGTCTTTGACAGAGATAATACAGACTTGGCTTGGTTGAAAGAAAGCTACCAATAAGTGATTAGTACTAAAAAGAGACCAATATCAAATATTCTTAGAAATGGTGAGTAGGAGGAGAACAATCTAAGCCTATAGATTAAATGAAAGGTTAATTTTTAAATTTCTTGAAGATTTATTGTGGTGAAGGGAGAGATGTCTGAAGAAGGCTGGAGGACATAGCAGCTGAAATGTGATAACAACAAAAAAGATGAGGTTATTATATAAATGAAGGTAAATTACCTGAATAATAGTCAACTATCATGTCAATTATATAATTTTTCTTTCTTTTGCTTTTTGCAGCAAAGTATATTGATTGAGGCAGAAAGATTTGACAAAAACACAGACATTGAAGAAAATTACCATGGAAATTTGGAAGACTGGCTTCATCGAACAGAAAAAATGGTAAAGTAAAAGTAATAACTACAAATTCTTTTTTTGTCTCTATAAATGCACACTAGTTGGGTAGAACATCGACTGGAATTTGGGTGTCAAAATCATGTAACCTATAACCTGTGTTACTTGGCTAAAGAAGGATTTTTGAAGAACATTTTTTTTCTAATATAAAATGTTTATTAGCTGTATTTATATCTTAAAATTTGACTGTAAAATGTATATAACATATAATAATGTTCAATCTCTTTTTTTATATACTGTGTCTCTTTATGACATTGACAATCATAACCCTCCACAATTTCCAGCATCCTGAGTATGATGATAAACTACATATGGCAGCAAGGCCTCTTTGAGAGGTTTTGAGGAGCATGGACCCATCTCTTAATTGCTGTTGTTCCCAGGTCCCTCATGACTGAGAGTGGTAGCACCTGTTACAGTCTCAGCTATTGGCAAATAGTAAACCCCCAAACTGAGGTCAAAACAGTATGAAAATGTAGAAACAGAATTTTATAGTAAAGGTTCCAGCAATACATTTTCATAGTAAAAATATTACCAGCAATAGGTTTTTAAAAAAAAAAAAAATAAATAAATAGATAAAAATATTACCAACAATACATTTTGTATAAGAAATTACTGACGCTTGCAAGAAAATTAAATTTTGACATTAAATGACCTGTAAGGAGTTAATATGCCATTAAACAAACAAATCAAAACAAGTAAACAATTTCCTGTCCTTTGTAGTACTTAATAAATTTTGTCTTTTTGTTATCTCTCCAAAACCCTTCTCTGCCATCCAGTCACATAAGCTTACCAATTAGGTTATTCATTGTTTTCCTATGTCCCTCTTACCTTCAGTATGCCTTGTAAGTATCACATTTTCCAACATCACTTTCCTCATTGTGTGCCATAGAAATTTCAATTTTCTCTTCTTGATGTTAAGTATGTGTCCTTGTTTTCATTTTCTCTGAAACTTTGTCGTTGCTCACCCTCACTTTATGGTATTCTCAGCATATCTACTGATCTCAAATGAAACTTTGACTGCTGATGTGTGATATTTTAGGGTTAATAAGGATTATGTTCCTGACCATGTTAAATTTTGGCTTATAGCCATATCACATTGAAACATTGGTTCCTGTATGATGACTGAAGTTAAGCAATATCGAGACTGGTTAGTACCTAGATGTGTGACCAGTTGAGAATACCAAGTGCTGTAACGTTGGATGTCTTGTTAGTGCAATGGATAATGACTCAGAATTGTTAATCAGAGAGCCGAGTTCCAATTCCAGTTGTGTTTGTTCTATTCACTTAAATGCTCCTGGGAAAAGGTATGACTCCACCTTTCTTCCCCAGTTATGTATTAATTAGTAAGACTTGTATCATTAAATCATTATTATCTTCTCTCCAAAAAACTTTTTACAATCTAAAAATATTTTCCTGGCTTTAAATAACCTTCAAAGCGATGAGAAGCTGTAGAAAATGAATGAATCAATCAATGTTCACTTATACGATATTCTCCCTCTAAAAATATATTTTGTGAACAACTAGATATATTTAATATTGCACTGTGGTTTGTATGATGTGCTAAATGTGAATCAATAAATAATAAATGTAATGGAGACATAGTTTAAAATAAGATATTGACTTGCCTTTCTAGTTGATTAATATTGCTCTTCATTGAGAAGAATTTCTTGAAATACATCTTTAATCAATGAAAAAATTGAAAATAAAAAAGGTTTCTGAAAAAATACAGAACTCAGATTAAAAGGAGAAATATTTTACAAGTAAAAGAAATGTCTATCATGAAATTTGAAACACAATTTTATTTTTTCAAGATGGCGTCTGAAAGACGGTAATAAAAACAAAAACAAAACTGGATCTTAGAAGGAAGCCCTGCAGATATATTGTCATTAAAGATTGCAGAACTAAGTCATGTGATCTCTAAGGCTTTGCATAACTTTCTAACATCAAGGAATTCTTATAATGTCATACACACCAGTATGTAGCCAGATACACTATCCAAAAGACTTCAAAAGAAGATTTAATAAAGCAACTTAAAAAAAAAATCATTGTATACATCTATACACATATAGGTATACATTTTTATTTATTTATAGTATACTTTATAAATATTATTAACTCAAGCAACTTGATAAAATGTACTGTTGACATTATTACCTCTTCCAATTAAGATCATATTAGGTTAAATTTTCACCCATGACTGTCTTTACCCACAATATTTCCAAAAAGTCTTGATGCTGTGGTGTGTCCTGAAGAATGTTATCCTAATTCTTTTATGTTCCTATAAACTATATATATTTAATATTCCAGTTTCAAATTGTTCTTTAATGTTCTATGTTCCTATGGCATATGCAAAATCATGACTCTCTACAACTTAGTGTCCTTTGTTCTTAGAAATATTTGCTTTTTTCTTCTCAGTCCCTGTTATGTCAGCCATTTACACAAGCATCTTATGTAGGTTGTTCAGTTTCCATCTGCCCCTCTTGCTTTCAGTATGCCCTTTGAGTATCAAATTCTCCAAGACTTTTTTCCTCATTATGTAACCTAGAAATTTATGCTTTTTTATTTTAAGTATTGTTTTTGTTTCCATTTTAGTTAAAAACTTCCTTGTTACTCTCATGTTCAGTCCATGTTATTCTTAGCATCCTTCTGTAGAACTACATTTCTGTTGCCTCAGGTTTCCTCCATCTATGAGGAAATTTTCCAGCATTCACAATCATATAGGATGATCAATATTACATAATAGTTCAGCACTCTTTTTTGTTTCTAATGGAATTTTACTGTTTCTTAATACTTTGCTTAACTTTTGAAAGGCATTTTATGCTATTTCAATGTGCCTTCAGATTTTGGTTTCACATTTTCCATCAACTTTTAAAACACTTCCCATCTAGTTAAATTTTTATTCTTACTTGATTTTGGTATCTCGACTTTGTGGTTTACATCTTGGGCTGTTTCACTTGCTGGCAACCATAATGTTGTCGTCTTATAACTGATAGTCATTTTTCTTCTTTTCTTTACTAACTTCTATAGGAATTTCTCCAGTTTCCTTTCTGTGTCAAAAAGTAAGTTAATTATAATCTTGGATGAAAATGAATAATTTTTATAAATTTAACATTATTTATATTCAGACAAATATCTTCATCTTTCTTGTTATTATCACAACATTTTGGCCATTATGCCCTCTTGTCTTCTTTAGGTGACTGGTATTCTTCAGAGAATTTCCATTATTCAATGTGGCTTGATTCTTCTCATTCTGCTGTTCAGGATATTCTTAGTCAGTTGTTCTTTTAGTATGTCTTCTTTAGTGATCGTCATATTTCCACTGATTATGAGTATATCCATATTAAAAGGTCCACCCACATCAACAGATGCCTGAAGAAGGCTGAAGACCATAATGTTCGAAATATTGTGATAATAACAACAAAGATGAGAACATTAGTCCAACTTTAAATAATACAAATATAAATAACTCTTCATCATTCACACAAAAATTTAGGTTTCTGGTTACATCTCTGAGAGAAGGTATTACGATTATTTACATTATTCGGAATGTTATCCTCATTTTCATTGCCATGTTCACAACATTTTGGCTGTTGTACGCTCAACTTCAGGTGATTGGAATTTCAAACTGAACCCTTTATTTCATCCACCAGGGCAGATTGTCCTAGTTCCACGTGCCAGGTCTCTTCCAGATGTCTCGGTTATTACCCCAAGGAGACATGGCCTAGTGGATAAAGATGTTGGTTAGATCCAGTAATTAGACCCATAGAGTTGAGAGTTTAGTACCAGGCTACAGCAGTGGGGAACCAAAATACTTGGAGAGTTAAGTTAAAGGAAGAGGCATGGCATCTGGAACTAGAATAATCTCCACCAGTTAACAAAATAAAGGAAAATTTTAATTATGCAACTACCAATGGAGACAAGCATCTTAACTTTGAAGGAAGTAAAGGGTTCAGTTCGAAATTCCAGTCACTTGAAGAAGGCCTGAGTGTACAGCAGCCAAAACGTTGTGAATATGACAATGAAGATAAGGATAATAGTCCAAATAATGTAAATAAAAAGTTAGGTTGTTTTTATTTTATTTTAATTTTTTTTCTGTTTGGACAACTTTTTTTGTTTCTGGGTTCTCTCTATAGGTATGCATTGTGTTTCTTCAGCAGTTTTTCTATGTCATGTCTTCATGTGTCAGCTTGTGGTGTCTTACTATTTTTTGTAGACAAGCTGATATATGGTTAGGAGAGATTAGATCAAATTAGATCCAATTCCAATTTTATCAGAGACCAGTTCTGATATAAAAGAAGAAAATTATTAAACCTGCTGGTTCTAGTTATTTCTAGACCATAATAATAATTATTTCAACTATCTTCAGTTATCAAAGGAGAGTAAAGATAAAATCTACATATGCAGCAGAAGACAATTTTACAAAAGAAATATTAGTAAAAAAAAAATGAATAATTAAAATGTCATTCCTTAGATTTTGCTGTAAAACCATTTTAAAACTTTGTTTCTTATAAGAGGTTTAATATGAAGTGAGTCCTGATAAAAATAAAACATAAAAAGAAAATTAAAATAAGGCATTTCTGCATTCCTTTAAAACCTTTATCTATTTCTCAACGTCGCTCTATATACTTCTCTCTCAACTAACAATAGAGTAACCCTCAAATAAAAGGAGGAAGAAGACGTCAAATTAAAATAAGGCATTTGCGCTTTCCTTTAAAACCCTTACTTCTTTCTTTCTTTCTCTCTCAACTTCTCACTATATACTGCCCTCTCAACTAATGAGAGGGCAACCCCTTAAATAAAAAGAGGAAGAAGAAGAAGAAAAAAACTGAAACTGGCTGAAAATTATTAAAAGTTTGTGGGACCAGAGCCTACTAAATTGTGGCTGAAAACTTACAAAAATCAGGGAGGCTTAATGGATAACATCTGCTAAATAAAAAGAAATGACTAAGAAAGGAATGCTGGAAAATGAAATAATTTTGGTCAATCAAAAAAAAATTAACACAAAGAGATTTGTGATGTTAGCTGAAACAGATTTGCACTAGTAAGTCTGGATCCCCATCAAAAGGGATATAAACTGAAAAAACCCATCACAATGAGGAGAATGATGACAAGAGACATGACTGCCAGAGAAACCAGCTATGCATGATGACATGTAAAGTAGTTAAGAAATCATCTGCTAATCCTATTTCTGCCCTGCTTATGGCCAAGAAAACACAGTAGGTGGACACTGTTCTATTTCTAAGATGACTTTGAAACTCTCAAATAGCAAGAAGAAACTAACCTTTTTTTAGACTGCTAAAAATATTTACTTTATAAGAAAATATTTTGTTACATCAAATATCAGAGGACTTACTCAAAAGCAAATAAAGCAAAATATATTATTTTTTTATACCATAGATTGAGTTTGTTTTATTCCAAAGTTTCCAGTAAACAAAATCATACCAAGTCTGGCATAATTCTTTAAAATGTCTAGCATAAGAAATAAATTAGAACATTTTCTAAATGTTAAAAAAAAATACCTTTCAAAGTGTGGTACCTTTTGCAAACATTAATGGTTTAAAACTCTTGTACCTGGTGACCTAATCTAATTGTCGCAGTGCACTGAAAATGATAAATGTGAAAAACATAAAAATATTCTTTTAATATTATTATTATGAACCTCAAAGTGCAACAGATTTTATTTTGAGACGTTTTTTTGCACTGAATGTGGCATCAGGTTGTGTTAATCAGTAACAAGAAACATTCTATTTACATTATTAACATTCACACTAATGTCCTTATGTTTGTTGTTATTATCCCCTGATCATATTCTATCTGAATGCCTGGGATGAGGAGATATCATTATTTACATTCACACTAATGTCCTTATGTTTGTTGTTATTATCCCTGATCAATTCTATCTGAATGCCTGGGATGAGGAGATATCATTAACATTCACACTAATGTCCTTATCTTTGTTGTTGCTATCCCTGATCATATTCTATCTGAATGCCTGGGATGAGGAGATATCATTATTTACATTCACACTAATGTCCTTATCTTTTGTTGTTGCTATCCCTGATCATATTCTGTCTAAATGCCTGGGATGAGGAGATATCATTATTTACATTCACACTAATGTCCTTATCTTTGTTGTTATTATCCCCTGATCATATTCTATCTGAATTGGGATTTTCATTATTTACATTCACACTAATGTCCTTATGTTTGTTGTTATTATCCCTGATCATATTCTATCTGAATGCCTGGGATGAGGAGATATCATTATTTACATTCACACTAATGTCCTTATCTTTGTTGTTATTATCCCCTGATCATATTCTATCTGAATGCCTGGGATGAGGAGATATCATTATTTACATTCACACTAATGTCCTTATCTTTGTTGTTGCTATCCCCTGATCATATTCTGTCTAAATGCCTGGGATGAGGAGATATCATTATTTACATTCACACTAATGTCCTTATCTTTGTTGTTATTATCCCCTGATCATATTCTATCTGAATGCCTGGGATGAGGAGATATCATTATTTACATTCACACTAATGTCCTTATCTTTTTGTTGTTGCTATCCCCTGATCATATTCTGTCTAAATGCCTGGGATGAGGAGATATCATTATTTTTACATTCTCACTAATGTCCTTATCTTTGTTGTTATTATCCCCTTATCTTTTTCTGTCTGAATGTCTGGGATGTCTCGTCTTTGTTGCCATATTTATCGCAACATTTCGACATTTCAACCACTTGAAGAATGTTGGAGTGTACAACGGCTGAAACATTGTGATAACTATGGTAACAAAGATGAGCACAATGGTCCAAATAGTTTAAATAGTTTAATTTTTGTCTTTTTTTCCTGTTAAAACTTTTGACATTTTGGTAGATATTAACTTCCCACTGTTAAAAGGAAGTAAAGTGATTGACTCCCATATTCCTTTAAAGAAATCTTTCATCAAATTTTTTACTACTTAGGATGATAACTAATTACCTGTTTCAAAAAACAAATTTGGCCAATTCTTTGTTCCGAACTTGTCACTGAAAACCATTATTTTCTACTAATATGTATTTGCTATGCTGAACTCTTTCTTGAGACCCTACTGTTATACTCTGTTGCAATTAGACCTCATTCTGATTCATTCTGCACACTGACCAAATATAATCACCATGAGGACAAAAGATGAAATAATTTAAGGCATTTTCTCCATATTGGTCTCCATGCACCACTTCTGGTCTACAACCTGAGGACAACCAAAAACATTTGCAGCCCGGCATGATCGCTGGCTGTCACACATGGCGCTGCTGCTGCTAGCATCACCATGACAACAGATTTATGGACCAGTTACCATGCAAAGTACGACTACCACTACTACCACTCAACAGGACTGCACATATCAATGACCATTACAGCTTCCTGGCTTGACGTACCACCTCAGCCTGCCAACACCCACTGTCACCTTGGTCTACCTTGACTCATTTACAAGGCATTACTTTTGTAGTTGACCCAAGCAATCTCCACTTCACAGAACAGCTCTACCTCAACTCAATTACAAGTCATTCCCTTCATAGACAATGCAGCAACCTCCATTCCACAGAACAGCTATATCATGACTCATTTGCAAGGCATTCCCTTCATAGACAATGCAGCAACCTCCATTCCACAGAACAGCTATACCATGACTCATTTGCAAGGCATTCCCTTCACAGTTGATGCAGTGACCTCAGTTCCACAAAACTGCTCTACCTTGACTTGTTTACAAGGAAATCCCTTTACAGTTGATGCAGCAACCACTGTTTCGCAGAATTGGCCTCCCAACACTCACCGTCACCTCAGCCTACCTTGACTTGCTTTCAAGGCATTCCCTTCGCAGTCGGCCCCAGCACCATCCACTCCACAGAACAGGGCTACCAAGACCATACCAATCCAACCTCATCCTATTTCAACACAACAGGTCAACCAACCAATAAGCCGACCTACAACCATTACCTCCATCTACCAAACATGCACGAACCATATCCCCTGACCTGGCCACGCTGTCACAAGAAATGGTTCCATTCCAGACACTACACATACACATGATCACTATTCCTGTACTCTCTATGAACAATAAATGTTGTTTCACCCTAATCCTCATTATTCCTTTCTCTTTCTACCATTTGCTTAATATAACACTAAAACAGAATCAAAACTCAGTCTGTTCATCCTGAGTATGATGATAAACTGCATCTGGCAGCAAGGTCTCTGATCAGGTGGTTTTGAGGAGTGTAGAACAACCTCTTAATTGCTGCTGTTCCCAGGTCCATCCTGACCCAGAGTAGTAACACCTGTTATGGTCCCAGCTATGGGCAAATAATGAACCCCCCAAACTGGGTTCAAAACATTATGAAAGTATAAAAATATATTTTTGTAATAAAGGAAGAGAAAAATCACCAGCAATAAATTTTTGAAAAATAAATTACCAAAGCTCCTCTAAAAATTAAATTTTGGAATTAAATAATATGAGGAGCTAATATGTCATTAAAGAAACCAAAAATGAAATCAGTGTCTGAGAACCATGTTTCAGTGTCTTAGTTGAGACATTTTCTTTCATCTCACATCTGGTTTTATCAGTCTGTATACAGGCCTATATTTGAACCTTCATTATAATTATGACATTGCATAACAAATAGTCAAAATGTTACCAGCAATAAAACAGCTGTTATTAAGCTGTTTAACCTTGAGAAATGACTATTTTGACAGTGCACTAAATTTTGACATTTGGATAATTTCACTATTTCAGAACTGCCCTTGTAACAGAACAAATCAACAATGAACAGCAGTAAATGCCAAGTACAAAGTTGCTCCCATGAATAGTGTAGTGATATGTAGATTAAATAATTAACATATCCAGAATACTCAGGCTATATAACTATTCCGATTAGGAGGAGGAGGGACTACGCATGAGGATTAAGACTTCATAACACATTGGCATCACTGATAGAATACACTTTATCCTTAGGGAATCATGATTTTGTGGATGCATGGATAAGTGCATTCATGGTTAAAGCTAAAACTAAGAAATTAAAAGACAAATCAAAGCACCTTTAACCATGTCAGATTCTATGAATGAGAAAATGTACAAGAAAAATAGGGTGACAATCCCAAAGAAAGCAAATTTTTAAGACATGATCAACTGGTTAAAATTCTAACAACCTTGTACACCACATTTACACATTAAAATAAAAACATAGAAAAAAATCATCATAAAATTTGAAACAAATATAAAGTTCTTTTTAAACTATATTTTATCTTGGATAAGTAAGGATTCTGGTTTTAAATTTTTTTTTAATTTGTCTAAAATATTCCATGAAAATAAGAAAAAAGTTGGCAATATTAATAACATTCGATCTTATTTCAATAAATGTAAACGAGGCATTTGTTTTAAAATTTCAGTTTACAGATATCGAGTTAACGGTGAAAGGAAACCATGCACCAACAATTATGACCAATGATATCCACTTTTGGACCTTATCACCACCCAAACTACACATTCAGCCTGCTATTATAAAGCAGATGATGTGCCCACTGTACTATGGTTCATTTAATCCAGGAAGATATATTTCTTTTGAGAACAAAAAACGCACCGAGAAAAAGACTGCAGCAGAAAAACTATTAGATAATTTTATTGATAAAGATGAGGAAGAAATTGAACAACTATTGAAAGAAAGGTAAGGCAAATTTATTTTTCTAACTTTGTCTTTTTGTTTACTCTGCCTCTCTTCAGAATGTGGATAATTAGAACTCACCAAAAAAATTCTTGCTTTTTTTTACCCTAAATAACTATTGTACTTGATTTCCTTTGCATTCACTCAGGCTTGTTAAGTATGATTCTTGATGTAGTGATGTGTAGAGGTTTGGTGATGCCCAGGGCCAACTCCTTGATTATATGCCCCCTAAGTCTCAAGTGTGTGTGTGTGTTTGTGTTAGGGTAATACTGAGAAATGTGAGAAAGAAAGACATTTTAAATATGTAAAAACAGATGAAACATGAAATAGATGCTTTATTCAAATTAAAGAAATGCCCGTGGCCATTACACCCTATGCTACCCCTCCTCTTTTGCCAGCTACCCTGCCTTGATTTATAAGAATATTCCATTTTGAAAACTGCAGATAGTTTTTAAGAACATTATGTCCTTAAATATAGTGGTCATCTAAAATATCTAAGTTTTTCTAGATTGGAAGCATTATTATTGTTTGTTAATGTACATAAGATAAACAAGGAAAATAAACATACATGTTTTCTAAAATTCTCAGATTTCATATTCATTATTCCATATATACTTCTTTTATGTACCAAGAGGTGGGAAATCATGGCTCTCTACAACTTCCTGTCATTTGTTGCTCTAACTTATTATAGCAAAGAAAACGGTGGCTTACCTCGTCAAACAAAGCGACAGCACATCACGTGTATTCTACGATGGAAAATGTGGCGAAAAAGAAAATTACTTACCAAACAAAAGGGCACATATTCTGCTTGTCATGCTGAAGATGAAATATTTGAATTAAAAAAAAACAAGTTTGTCGCAGGGGTCGCTGTAAAAGTATTTTGATATGCAAAATACTGAACCTCCTCTCCCAGCTGGAGAATGGAAAAAATGCTCGGCCAATAAAAGCAGTTGGTGTTCTTGAATCGGGGTGGGGAAAAAAAAAGTCAGCTATTTTGGCTGCCACTTTCGTTGGAGAGTGATTTATTTTTCTGACTGGTTGTGTGCATTGTGATTTGTGAAAGAGTACTTGTGAATCGAGTTTTCAGCATTTTCTTTCTGTCCCTGATGTTCGAGTCTGAACTTAGTGATTTATTCTCTGTGACATAGAAATAATCTGCGGCAAACATTTCCTTTGCAATCCCAGATCACTTACAATTATGATTTATAACTCTTTGCCATATGTTTTGTCATTCTTTCACAAAGAGTATGGTACTTGCTGTTTCTCCCTTCTTCTCTTGCCTTCAGTATGTCCTGTGAGTGTTGAGTTTTCTACACACTCTCTCATCGTTAGATTTTTTTTTTTTACTGTAAATATGTTTCTTTGTTGTTGTTCTTTTCCCTAAGACTTCCCTATTGCTCACATGATCTGATTGCAGTATTCCTAGCATCTGTTTGTAGAACCAACATCACTTCAAATCTGTTATTTGTGAGGAGACTGTCTGACCTTCACTGCCATATAGGAGATAGATTTTAAAAGTTTACAACTAACACTCTCCTTTTTGTTAATCAAAGGTTGATCCCTTGCTAAGTATTTTACAAGTTTATTATTATTCTTTGAATCTGGGTGGGTAGTCAAGTGGTTAGAATGTTTTCATTCTGATCATTTATCAAAGAAGTGACATGGTATTATTGGTTTGGGGAGGTGATCCCAGGTTGTGGAACCAATGGAAGGTACCTGAAAATTACACTACTGTTTGACCCACATGTGAGTGAAACTGGATAGATGGAACTGTTCAAAAGCCATCTGTATGAAGACATGATATCAAAAGTGATCATGAAGAGAGCTTGACTGTACTAGCCTTGTTAAAACTCTTGATAATGACAAATTACGTTTTCTCTCTCCCAGAAACTGTAACTAAAGTTTGCTTATCTTCATTGCAGTATAGTGATTTTTCCAAGCATAGCTTAGATGTGGCACAAGGCCAAAAGTAGTGGGGACATCCAGTGAGAATCAAACTCACTACTTAGTCATAATCTTTCTAGTGAGTCAAGCTTGCTAACCATTACACCACCTTGAGGTGCCCCACTTCATTGCTGTATAAACTACAGGTGGGTATTAACAAAGAAAAATGTGCCTGAACATATGTCTGTATAGATGTGCTCAGAAATGAGTAGACATCCATTTTTGTATCATAATTGCACACATTTTTTTCATTTAATTAGTTTATTGCTTAGCATGGTATCTTATAAATAATGGACTGTCCTGTTTTTATTGCAAGGAAAAAAGAAAAGATACATCAGAAAAGCTGTGTGGTTTCAGTCAAAGAAAGAAAGAAAGAAATGCCTTTATAGATAATGGGTGATTCCATTTTTCCAAGCAAAAATGGGAAAGGCATTCTGTTTGGTTTCAGTGAGAAAAAGAGAGCGAGATAGATGATGTAATAATTCCCTTGTGCTTCATTGAAATAAAAAAAGCTCATTACTATTATTATTTACTAGCTTCTTCATCTATGTGCAGTTTGCCTTCAGGATGTTGGCAATCATGTTTTTCCATAATTTTCTGTTCTTTGTAGCACTTAATAAATTTTGTCTTTTTGCAATCTTTCCTAAACCTTGTTCAGTGATCCATTTACTGAAGTTCCCTAGGTAGATTATGTGTTATTTTCCTCTGTCCCTCTTGCCTTCAATCTATCCTGTGTCTACCAAGCTATCCTCATTATGTGCCCTAGAAATTTTAACTGTGTCTTCCTGATGTTAAGTATACGTGTCCTTTTGTCACCATTTTCCCTTAAATTTTGTTGTTGCTCGCATGTTTGGTTCATGTTATTTGCAACATTCTTCTGCAGAGCCACATTTCTGTTGCTTCAAGTCTCTTCTTCATCTGTTAGGAGATTGTCCAGCATTCACTCTCATGAAAGAAAGAAAAAAATAGATATACAATGAGAATCTTTATTTTATATCTATTTTGATGACCAAAATAATCATTCTGCCCAAATTACCTGAATTTCTGGGTAATATCTTGTGTGTATATAAGTATATGTATATTGAGACATGTCTCATTAAATATTATTGTTATATTTTATTCCATGGCTTCATCTGCCATTTCCTTCAAACTATCTGAATATTGTACTGAGGACATTATCTTCAATGGTTACGAATATAAACAAATTGACTTTACAGTACTTCCTGATTCCTGTATGGATATTATACTCGGAGTGCCCTTCTTAAAACTACACCAGAGTATCACTATTTCTTTTGGTGGATCTCAGAATATTCTAAAAATCTGCGCTCTAACCAAGATCAGTTGTGCTCCTGTTAAGTTGTTCCGAAACTTGACCCCTGATTGCAAACCTATTGCTACTAAATCCCGAAATTACCGTATGGAGGAGGATGGTCGGTTCATTGAAAAGAAATTCTACAACTGCTTAAGGATGATATAATTGAAACAAGTTACTCTCCGTGGCATGCTCAAATTGTCGTAACTTCGTCACCTAATAAAAAGAAACGATTGGTGGTCGATTTCTCCCAGACTATTAATCGGTTCACCCTTGATGCCTACCCCTTGCCTCGAATTGAAGATCTCGTAAACCAAATAGCCCAGTATCGTATCTATAGTATAATTGACTTGTCCAAAGCATACTATCAGATTGAAATTTGCCCTGAAGATCGCCCCTATACGGCCTTTCAAGCTGGAAACCATCTGTACCAATTTAAACGAATACCCATGGGTGTTACTAACGGGGTTTCTGCCTTTCAGCGATTTATGAATTCTTTCATTTCTGATAACAAATTATCTGGAACCTTTTCGTATATAGATGATATAACTGTTTGTGGTAAAACCCAGGAGGAGCACGATGTCAATTTGGAATGTTTCTTAAAGGCTGCCTCGACATACAACCTCGAAATAAACCGGGAAAAATCAGAGTTTTCACTTCGTTCTATTAACGTGCTTGGATATCAAATTTTATAACGGAACTATCCAACCTGATCCTGAGCGTTTGAAGCCACTTTTACAAATGCCTCCTCCTCCCGACTCAAATTCGTTAAAAAGGTGTCTTAGTATGTTTGCTTACTATGCGAAATGGATACCTAAATATTCACACAAAATTCGTCCACTGGTCGAAAATAAACAATTCCCTATGCCTCCTATAGTTATAAATTCTTTCGAAAAACTTAAGAAAGACATTGCCGAGTCATCTGTAAAAGTTATTGATGATGAATTGCCATTTACTATTGAAATCGATGCCTCAGAAAAGGCTATTGGAGGCACTCTTTTACAAGCTGAGCGACCTGTAGCATTCTTTTCTCGGTCACTAAAACCCTCTGAAATACGACTTCACATAGTCGAAAAAGAAGCATATGCTATAGTCGAATGCGTTCGTAAATGGAGAGACCTCCTTGCCGGTAAACATTTTACTATTATTACTGATCAACAAGCCGTATCTTTTATGTTTAAACCTGCTAATCGGGAAAAATTAAAAACGATAAAATTATAAGGTGGAAAATGGAACTTCTTCCCTTTTCCTCGACATAAAACACCGTCCTGGAAATGAAAACACTGTTGCGGATACCTTATCCAGAGTATGTGGTGCTGCTGCTTCTTCCCTGAAGGAACTTAAATCGATACACGATTCCTTAATACATCCTGGGGTACAGCGCTTTTGGCATTTTGTAAGGTCTCAGAATATGCTGTATTCGCTTTTGATGAAGTCCGACGCGTGACTTCTGAATGTATGACCTGCTAAAAAATAAAACCCCAATTCTTCGATTCTACTAGTAATGTTCTGATCCGTTCTACTGCGCCATTTCAGCGTCTCTCCATAGACTACAAAAGGGCCTGTCCGGTATCCCCGACAGGTTACCGATATATACTTACTGTCATCGATTTAATATAGTTTCGATTTCTTTTTGCCTTTCTTTTGCGCGATTGCTCTTCGCAAACTGCTATTCAGTGCCTGACAAGTATTTTCTCCATTTTCGGCTTCCCTCGTTCATTCCTCCGATCGAGGAACTTCGTTTATGTCAGGAGAATTTAAACAATTTCTAACACGACTTGGAATTGATTCAGTAATACTACTGCTTATAACCCTAGAGGCAATAGCCAATGCGAACGTTACAACGGCATAATTTGGAATACCATATAATTGGCCCTGGAATCGAAACAGTTACCAATTAGTGCTTGGCAGGATGTTCTACATGATGTGTTAAATGCTATCCGCTCTCTACTATGTACCACTACGAATGCAACCCCCACGAACGAATGTTCAATTTTGAAAGGCGGTCCTCCACCAGTACTGCGTTGCCTGTTTGGCTCTGTGAGCCTGGGGAGGTATTATTAAAACGATTCGATGGCAGAAGTAAATATGACCCTATCGTTGAGGTGGTGGAACTCCTTGAGGCCAATCCTACGCATGCCAAAATACGTCACAATGATGGCCAGGAAGATTCGGTGGTGCTGAGATGGTTGGCACGTTTTCCACGCCCGGATGGACCTCAAAATGGACCTGAAAATACTCAACCCGACGTGGACCACGCAGATTCAACCCTTTTGCCTGATGCAGGTCCCGTTAATATTTCTTCACCTTCCACGGAAAATGAATCTGTGAATAATAGCCAGAATCCTGAAAGTCAGCCTTCTCAGAGGTCTGGCTCTTCCAGTGGTGAACTACCTCTACGCCGGTCTAGCAGGATTCGTAGACCAATCCAACGACTGGATTTATAAAACCTATTCAATTACGATCTCTTTTGCAAGTGGGGGAGAATGTTATATTTTCGTAAAGAAAATAAAAGAAAAGAAAATAGGAAACTATCTTTACTGTCCACGTCAAATAGGAAACTATCTTTACTGTCCACGTGACTTTTTCACACGTCCCCATTTCTCTTTAAAAGCTGCGTTCTTCTTCCTTTGTTGATTGCTGCTGTGAATTAAGTTCAGTAAAGCCTTAGTGAAAGGTTACTAGCTTTCTTCTCTGAGCAACGTAACAATTATGATCATGGTACATCCATATCAATTTCTAAAAGCTATGTTTCTTCAGAATATAGACAGTCATTCCTCTCCACAGATCTTCTTTTGTTTGGTTAACACCTTCTCCCCAGCAATTGAAGTTTATCTCTTGTTTCCTCTCTATGATTTTATCATTCTATTTCACTCCTAGTAGCACCTTGCATCTTAGTGACATTATTACCTTGCTTGGGGGAATAGATTAAAAAATATGTGGATTTTCATGTCTTCTTGGAGAAAATAGTGCAATGGTTTCCTGTTGGCTTCTTGACACTTTTCATTCTCTTGGTCTCAATCCAAGACTAGAGAGACCTATCTACTCTGGTATTTAGCACATGGCTGGAAGGAAAGAAAATATGGATTGATGCATCTTTCAATGAGCATTTGTGTGAAAGTGAATGAAGCGGGCAAGGTCAGAATTTGAACTTGGCTTACAATTTCCACATTTTAAACCTTGTGTTACTTGCCCATCTGTGTCAATATAAGTAAACATAAGATAATATAAGGTAAATACCTATAAACAAATGTATACTGTATAATATTAATTGAAATTTGAAAACCAGTTAGATATTTTTATTTCCTTGTTGATGCTTCACTCCTATCATATGAGCATAATTGAAAAATTCATTACCATAGCAACCCTGCTGCTTCAAATTAACTGTGGTCAATGTGGAAAATTTTAACAGCTGATAAAATTTTAAAATATAAATGCAAACAAATTGCAGTTTAATTTGCTTATTCAAAAAATAGGTTTTTATAACATACCATCTTTTGTAGCTAAGTTCATATTAAAATAGTAATTGAAGAATCAGAAATGTGATACTGACCTTTGCAGGGAGGTTCCCAACTAGTGTCCAGTTGGCAGACAAAAAGAAAATGGGCTGCAACTCAGTACAGACAGCATTCACAGTGTAATGATGGATATTTGAGTGCAGAATCTACACCAAAGTCAGCAGCCAATCAGGGCTGAGAGAATAGGCTTGCCCAAGTAGCAAAATGGAATATTCCAGTCTTATAAAAATCACTTATCAACTGGCCCAGACAGTTTGCCAAACCAGACTCTACTTCTAATCTAATTATATAAGTGATCTGCCATTTACTTATATAAGCTTTTGTTAGGTAATTTACTTGATGTTTTCCTCTTGCTTTCAGTATATCCTATGAATCCAATTTTCTCAGTCTTCTTTCCTTACATGTCCGAGAAACTCTCTTGTGTCTTTTTGTTTCCATTTTCCTTCAAACTTCTTTGTTTTTCATATGCTCCATCCATGTTATTCTCAGCATCCTTCTATAAAACCACATCTTCATTACTGCAAGTCTATTCTGCACCTGTAAGGAAATTGTCCAACATTCACTGCCATATAGAAGGACTGATATTACATAACAGCATTCTTATCTTTGTTTTTAACATTTTCCTGTTTTTAATACTTTGTTTATCTTTTGCTATTCCAATATGCCTTCAGATTTCTATATCATATTTTCAATCTCCATTTAAAATTTATATCTCCGGATTACTATAGAAAGAAAAACATTCTACTTAAAATCTTGTCTATTTCCAAATACATAGTGTACAATGAGAACATATAAATATTCTGTGACTGAAATAGTTTCTTGGAAAGTGAATTTTCCTTCAGTTTCAAATTTCTTTTTGCAAACAATGAATAATTGCTTTTCAGAACTTCAAGAATTTTTAGATAAATTAAAAAGTGCAATGTGGAAATATGAATCCCATCAATAATTGTTATTTGTTCTTAAATTTTATTTAGTTGCTATAAATTGACTTTGTTACATTTTCTTGTAGATTATTGGAACAAAAAAGTGAATCATCCAGAGACTTGACAGCCTATGCTAAGGAACAATGCCCAAATCTAGATTTGACAGGTAACAGCCATATCTTCACATTTTTTAATTTATTTACTGTTCATTTACTGTTTTTTGGTTTCAAAAAAGAAAATGAATAGAATTTTTAATGCCAAAGAATGAAGCAATATTCACAATCAGTTTATTAAATATCAAAAGTCAAGCCATTCCAGACATAATATTTTTGCAAGAAATCAGAAAATTACTATTTGAGAAATTTGAACAAATTTCTCAAGAGTTTCTAACTTCAGTTGATGTGCTTTACTGTGTCATGATCCTGTGTATTTGAGTTTAGTTGACACAGGTTGGCTATATAATTGTCCATTTAAAATCAATAATTGAATTGTTTCTAATTAAAAATAAGCCTAAGCAAATATATATTTTTTAAAACTGTAAGAATATTTTGGAGATAATAATTACTTAGGGATACAAGTTCTACTAATTATTCCTGTTGTAACCTAGAAAAGGTTACTGAATAAGAATGACTAAAATGAAGTTTGGAAATGGAATGGTAATCTTTATAACATTAACAGCCTACAAGATTTGCCAGCACCGTGTATTAAGTAATCCGCTAGTATTGGTAAATCCCCCAGACAGTATATTTCACTGTATTTATAAGGATTAGAACATACCCATTATAGTCCATATGTGTGGTATAATAATCCCATAGCAGGAGGGAGAAGAGGTGGATTCATACCTTTCTCAAGGGTATTTACCCCGTAGAGAATATAGCAAAAATGACTGGAATTAGAACTCGGCTATACTATTTTCAACCCCAAACCGTTATCCATTGCACCATTCATGCATTCAAACTTACAGTCACCCATCTGGATACTGAACAGGCATGACATTGCTTAACATTGGTGATCAGAAGAGAATTGGTGTTTCAGCATGATATGGTTGTAAGCGTACATGAATTTGGTGACCTCGTAATTCTGAGTTCAATCCCTGGCTGGTGTACTTGGACTCAGTAGAAATGGGGTTAGCAGTTCCTAAACAGTACTAAAACTAAGACCTAGATGAGATATCCCTAGACATGGCCAGTAGAATGAGAACAATCTATATCTATAAATGAAACATTGTGATAACAACAACAAAGATGAGGACAGTAGTCTGCATGTAAATAATATAAATAAAGATAACTCCTCATCCCAGAAACTTAGGAAGAAGGCGATCAGGTGATAATAACAACAAAGATGAGGACAATAGTTCACATGTAAATAGTGATAACTCCTCAGCCCAGAAATTCAAACAGAAAATAAGCCTTATGTTCAGAAAAATATTTAGGGTAAGATTAGAAAATATAAAATGAAAACCAAATGCATGCAACGATAGCATGTCTATTAAGTTCAATTTAAAGCACAGAAACTGTAAATTAGGTATTTGAGAAGAGTCATTAATAAACCTAATATTTCTTATTACTCTAAACCAGAGGTTGGCAACCAGGCCGCATCTAACCCACAAAGGATTTTTGTCCAGCCTGCCAACTTAACATGTGGAGCATCCTGGGTATGACGATAAACTACATCTGGCAGCAAGGCCTCCGATTGGGAGGTTTTGAGGAGCATGTAACTGCCTCTTAATTGATGTTGTACCCAGGTCCACTCTGATCTGGGGTGTCCCAGCTATGGGCAAATAGTTAAATCAAAACTTTGCCTCCTGTGCTAATACAAATTTCCAAGAACAGATTATAAAAAAACTGAATAAATCAATCAAGCATTTTGATGGAGTTAGAATTAATAAAGATTTGTATATTTCAACAATAACTCAATATAACACAAACTCGCATGGCTAAGAAAAATGTTGCATTGACTGCAGAAGGAAAAATAGACAAATAATTTGGGTTGCTTCACAAACAAGGCAGGGTATAAGAATAAAAAATTTACTATGTGTAATACAAGAAAAGTACACAAATGTTAAAATGTAACATTAACCAGCCAAAATTTTCACACGATTGAAATCTGGGAAAGCTGCTCTTAGATTTTTTTTAACTAATCCTAAAAATATGAAGGTTCTTGCATAAACCATTCTGGGAGACAGATCTTCAATGATGATTATTTTTATCAAGGTGAGAACAAAAAAGTGATATGAATTAGTTGGCAATCTCAACCATTGAACAAGGTTACCAGAAGTTTATCACCATCAGAAACCTTACTATTGTTGGAATCAGCAGACTGTATTCTTAATCTTGTTTTTGCATTGAACAGATTAGCAGTCCGATGCTATACAGACAACACATCATTAATAAATATTCTATAAGCATCAAGCATTGTTAGTGACAAATGATTATGAGTAGATATAGTGAGAATAAGGGAAATGGAATTAGAGGAGGAAGTTAAAATGCATTGGGTTGATGGTAAATTATAGTTGGCAGATTCTTTAACAAAAAGAATTACATCAACACTGAAATTGATAGAAGTACTTGAACCTATAAACTAATGAATCATTTAGTTTTCAATTTTGACAACTTTACAATGTGAGCTGCAGTGTTGATGTTTTGGTTACTTCCATCTTGGAGGAAAGAAAGGATTACATAACCTTGCCAGAAGTGGACCCTGAAGAGATTAAATGGGACCACATTTTGAACAAGCTCCAACTACAAAATCAGATAAATTAGTATAGGGCACACTTTGGCTGAAGAAGTCTTTTCTTGGATGAGAAAAGGGAATGTTTTTGTTTCCTGTCAGAAGGCACATTTCCTTTTATGATCGTAATATAAGCTGTTTACTTATAAGGAAACATTTGGAATTCATTGACTGAGCAACATATACTACATTCAGTTGAAATTCATAAAAGCTTTCTCTTAAAATGATTTTTCAGGAAAATATGTTTCTTAAGTCTGGTAGCTCTTATCCCTCTTTCCAGTATTGATGGAGGTTTCATTCCTAACCTTTTATTTGAAGTAGTGTAGAATATCAATATCTCAATGATATCATTATTTTTGGTTTGAGTTACTTGTGCTATCCATTTTATTTGTTGCTGCTGTTTATCCTTCTCAAGTAATATGGTTTCTGTTATTTGGTACAATTATTTGTGATTCTGTAGTGCCAGTCCACAATGTTTGATGGTCTTCACTAATCATCCAGGCTTCATACATTCAATGCCATATTTCACCATTGATCTTAAAATGTGGTTATATACAGCTGGCAACTTAGAGATTTGTGAATGGTATTGGCACCATGCATTGCACCCATATAAATGTCTCGATTTGGCAAGAATAAAGACTTCTTGTTCTCTGAGCTTGCTGACATTAATTTCCCTGTTTAAAATTAGAGATGTCTCTTCAAGCACATTTACCCAGTAAGAAAATGATTAAAGTAATAAGAAAAAAATGGATTTTAAAAAAAATCCATGAAAAAAAATACCCTATATTCTTTGAGAAAAGGTATTGAATACTTGTTGATATAAACACAGAAAAAAAGAAAAGCTGTTTTTTTATTTAATTTTCCTGGAAGAAAGCTGTTCTTTTTTCACACAGAATTTACCTAATGTATCCTGAAGAAGGTATTGATGAAAATGTGTTCATTACAGTATGTGATGTTATAGTGAAGAAAATGGCGACTTACCTCATCAAACCAAGCGACAGCGCATCGTGTGTATTCTGCGATGGAAAATGTGGTGAAAAAGAAAATTACTTACCAAACAAAAGGGCACGTATTCTGCATGACATGCTGAAGATGGAATATTTGAATTAAAAAAAAACAAGTCTGTCGCAGTAGTCGCTATAAAAGTATTTTGATATGCAAATTACTGAACATCCTCTCTCATCTGTCAACAAATGGAAAAAAGAAAAAGTCGGCTATTTTGGCTGCCACGGCTGTTGGAGAGTGGGGTATTTTTTCTGACTGGTGGCGTGCATTGGGATTTGTGAAATGGTGCTTGCGAATCAAGTTTTCGGCATTTTCTTTCTGTCCATGATGTTTGATTTGTTGGGAGTACTTTCATCCTTTATAATTTGGAATTTTAAAGGGTGGCCAAAAATTTATTTTACCATGAGATTATTTTATAAACAAAATTATATATATATATATATATATATATATATATATATATATATATATATATATATATTTTAAATCCTTTTACCCCAAACAAGGCAAGAAGCTACTAAGATGCAAGGGTTTACTGAGTGCAAAAGAATAAAAGAAAAATATTAAAGAGTGAGAACAATAAAAGAACAGGAATTAAGAAAACAAAAAATAATATTTGACATTGCATATAAATTTATTAAAATCAAAGTTGACTGGAAAGCAAGAAGCCAGAAGAGAGTTCCACAAGTGCTAAGTGTGAGAAAAGAAACTTTTAGCAAATAAATTACAGTTACATCTAACAATTTCAACTGTAAAAACAAATGAGACCTAGCTGCCAATCTAGTATTACACTTAAATTCATTAATTCTGGTTACTCTAGAGGGAAATTTCCAAGTTAACATGCAGTATTTATAGAAAAGACACTGGGAAGCTACATTATGGTAATAGGAAAGTGATTGAATAGGAGATAACAGATCAAGACCAATGACATTGCAGTTTCTTCTTTGGATTTTACCAAGGATCTCTAAATATATAGCAGGAGTATTAGATCATATATGGCAGCAATATTCAAATCATGTGCAAATGGTAGACTTAAAAATATGTAAGATATATATTCAATTGTGAAAAATTGTCTGTGAACTGACTTTCCAAACATCAGACCAAGCAATTGATTCAATCTTTCCACTTCATTAATTTCAAACACAGTTTTTAAGGTTTACTAGTCATTCCTTCAATTTTTGTTTTATCATACATTTTTATAAATTTTGTTGCTGTTTTATTCTTTATTTTAACTATGGAAGGATGAGGCATGGTTGAGTAATGGATAGTGGCTCATATTGAAAAACTGGAGAGCTGAGTTTGAATTCCAGTCAAATCTATTACATTTACTTATGTACTAATATACTTGGAAAAAGTACAAATCCTCCTCTTCTCCCTTGGATGGCAACTGGTCTACCTCAGAAAGAAATGGCAACCTACTGTGGGAAAAAA